CTCAGTGTCGCGCCCGTACTGGACCGGGACCGGCAACGGGATCGCAACCCTCGGTGTTGCGCCCGCACCTCGCTCAGCCAGTGAGCGGCCAGTCTGTATGTGGGATCCGAATCCTCGGCGGGAACGCCGCCACGCTCCCAAGCGGCGCACTGTAGCAGTGCGCCACCGGGCCGGCCCCATGATGATGAAGTTCTATTTATCTATTTTTTCTTTTGTCACTTGTGCTTTTGGTGTCATATCTAAGACTTTGTCAAACCCAAGGTCACAAAGATTTGCTCCAGCATTTTCTTCTCAGAGTTTTATAGTTTTAGCTCTTACATTTAGGTCTATGATCCATTTTGAGTAAATGTTTGTGTATGGCATGTAGGAGGGGGTAAAATGGCTTCCCTTTACCCTTTTAGGTTCTTTGGCTGGGCTACAAACTAAATTGTCATAAGGCAAATTAAGAAGACAAAAGCCATATTTAATTACATGCGTTCACATAGGAGTACCACAAAATATGACACTCAAAGAAGGGGTAAGATGACTAGCATCATGAGCTACAGAAAGGAAGAGGAGCTTGGGGCTTCTGGGGAGGGTTGTGGGAGGGGGGTGGTGACAGAAGTTATGGGAGGGCGAGGGAGGAGATGTATGTGAATAAAGGTTGTCTTGTTAAGATGATAAAAACTTAGGATAATAAAATTGTCTGGAGCAGCCCTCTCCCTGATACAGATGCTTTACTAATGTAGATTTCCTTTATGGATGTAAATTCATTTTACAAAAGGACACCTTTTCAGAGCTACTCCTGTCTTTGTAGTTTCTCAGAATAACCAGCTCGAAATAGGCCAAGGAAGGATATTTGGGGGTTGTATATTCTGGTCTCCTACAGTCATATTTTGGGGTGATGTGTCTGTAACCCCAACAGGTTTGAGGAAGGGATCCAACTTCATTCTTTTGCATGTAGCTAAGTTGTCCCAGCACCATTTGTTAAAGAGATTATTCTTTCCCCATGGAATTGTCTTGGAACCGTTATCGATAAACATGAGATTTTATTTCTGGACTCTCAATTCTATTCCATTGATTTACATGCCTGTCCTTATGCCAGTACCACACAGTCTTGACTACTGTACACTTAGGTTCTTAAATAGGCCTTTCAAGGGTCTCCCCCACTTCATACTTCCCCTGATGTGTGGGATCCAATTTCTGCGCAACCTGTCCAGAACTGATAAAACCCACAGGGCTTAACACAGGGGCAAATTGGAAATCACGCTACGGAAGGACATTTCCACAACCTGGGACAAACCCAATTCCCCTGAAAACAATTCACTAAGATGAATTCAGTCAAAATTTGCAAACCACATGAGGAGAGTCAGCGGACTAACAAAAGGGACCACCATCAGAACTAACAGAATAATCTCAAATATACTTTGAAATAAATACATTTAAACACTCAGAGATAAGGAATATGAGGGGTCTTCCAAAAGTTCATGGAAAAATTCAGATTATATTTTAATTCTATTTTTCCACAAACTTTTTGAAGTACCCTCATATAGAGACCACAGGCGAGAACAGACAAAGAGAGAGAGAGAAAAAAAATACAGTTACTGAAATAAACTGATATTACATCAGCTCTCTCTCATCGCTCATCTTGTGTCATTTCATTAATAAATTCATTCAGTAACTGCTATGTGCTAATCACATACTGGGTACTGGAAATACAATGGAGAAGACACAGCTGCAGCCTGTAAGGAGCTCACATTACATTTTTTTAAACTTTAATGTAGGGTAATACATTGATTTCTAGATAAACTTTTGCACTTTTTTTTTTTTTGCCACGACATTTTATAAGTAAATTAGATGTTTCTCATGTCGTTAAATTCAGCAGAAGGAGGGTGGCACTATGCAAATCATTCTCATCTCTTTCTCTAAGCTGCCAGTAATTATTGATTTGCTTTGGTGGGTTGTTTGGGAATTTAGGAGGGTTTTGCTTAGTTGTTTGGGATGATAAAGTGGAAGAACTGAGGAAGCAAAGACCGAAGACTAATGCTATATGACAGTAAGGTAAAATAACTGTAAATAGCTCAGTCGTAGCTCAGCCTCGGCTTAGCTGAACTTCCTTTCCTTACCATCATGAATGCAGTCCATAATTAACTTTAATCGTTTTTCATAACGATTAAAGAGTGCTTTCACGGAGCACTCTTACAAAATAAGTCACTTGCATGACACCATTTGTTGTGCACAGAACAACAAAGCATTAATTCACAGGCCAGCAGCTGGCACAAAAAAGACCTCAATTTATGCTTTTAAAGTGTATCATTGTAATGGGATGGTCTCTTTATTTGTTACCAACCATTGCTAATGGTATAATAATGGAGCAAAATAGTGATACCTTCTGCTCACTGGAACCTGGTTTCAGAAGAAAAGTATCTCTGTAGAACAGAGAAGAAAAGTAGTTTTTTTTTTTTTTAAGTGTGAGAAACCAAGATTATAAACTATGAGATTTTAAAAAATCCCTTTAGCCACTTTTAAATGGTTTTATAAACTCAAATGTTTTCCTTTCTATAGCTCATGAACTGTCTGGTTAATTTGAAATAAAGATATGGCAAAATCCAGGTATTTTACAGTACTTGTTTTTCTTTGTACTTGGTTTGAGTCTTTTTTTCCCCATAAAATGGAGACATGTTAGTAGCTGCTCTGGAGGCCCTTAGGTAATTACGTTACTCACTGATATTACTAATAAAAAATTTCATGGCAGCTAGAAAATCTGGCCAAATACTTATTTGAGAAAAACTCACTGTTGACATGAAGCAAATTGTTGTTACACTTGTCTAAAAACTCTGACTCTGACTTTCCTAAACCATTTTTCAAAGTGGAAAAGATCCTATAAGCTTAAGTAGAAATTTCTCGCTTAAAAGGAAATGCTATGACACAAAAATCTTAGAGAAACAATACCATAAATTTATCCTTACATTTAAAATAGTAAAAGAATATTCTGGAAAAGGCAGAAGTATAGAGACAGAATTATTAGGGAAATGCAAATCAAAGCCACAATGAGATATCACCTCACACCTATCAGGATGGCTACTATCAAAAACCAGAAAATAGCAAGTGTTGATAAGGATGTGGAGAAACTGGAACTTTTGTGCATTATTGGTGGGAAAGTAAAATGGTGTAGCCATGGTCATGGTGGAAAACACTTTAGTGATTCCTCAAAAAATTAAAAATAGAATTACCATATGATCTGGCAATTCTACTTCTGGACATATACCCAAAACAATTTAAAGCAGAGCCTCGACGAGATATTTCTGCATCCATGTTAACAGCAGCATTATTCACAATAGCTGCAAAGGGGAAGCAACTCAAGTGTCCATCAACAGATGAATGGATAAGCAAAATGTGGTATAGTCATAAAACAGAATATTATTCAGCCTTAAAAAGGAAGGAAATTCTGCAAAATGCTACATGGATGAACCTTGTGGACATTATGCTAAATGAAGTCAGTCAGTCACAGAAAAACAAATACTGTATGATTCTAATCAGATGAAGTACCTGGAATAGTCAAATTCATAGAGACAGAAAGAAGAATGGTGGTTACCAGGTGCTGCAGGGAAGAGAGAATGCGGAGTTGTTTAATGGGTATAGTTTCAATTTTATACAATGAAGAATTATGCAGATGAATGGTGGTGATGGTTGCACATTGTAAATGTACTTAATACCACTGAACCGTACATTTAAAAATAGTTTAAGATGATAAATTTTATGTGTATTTCACCACTATAAAATTTTTTAAAATAATAAAACCTAGACAATAAAAACATCAATGGTTGCCAGGGGTCAAGGGGGAGGGAGGGATGAATAGGTGGAGCACAGAGTTTTAGGGCAGTGAAACTATTCTGTATGATACCACAATGTACATGTCATTGTACATTTATCCAAATTCATAGAATGTACACCATCAAGAGTGAACCCTAATGTAGAATGTATGGACTTGGGTGATAAGGATATGTTAAAGTAGGTTCACTGATTTTAACAAATGTACCACTGGTGGAAGATGTTGATAGTGGGGGAGGTTGTGCATGTGGCAAGGTGGGGGTATATGAGAACTCTGTAATTTCTGCTCAGTTTTGCTGTGAACACAACTCCTCCAAATACTCTATTTAAAAAAAGTGCAATGGAAAGAGCTAAGGCAAATATGTCATGCTAGCTTTTACTCTGAATGTCCTGGCTTCCTTTAAGTTCTTATCACGAAATAGACAGTCATTTTCTGTCCTGCAAATTTGCCCAACCAGAACCACATATGAACTGATTTCTGCAAATACCACCAACTTTTCCATTTTGAAGTAGTACCTGAAGTTAAATAGTGAAAGTGATTAAGTCCTTCAGCCAGAATCAGCCAATAATTCAGAAGGCCTCATACTATTTTTACTCTCATGCTCAAGGATAAATTCAAATTATGTTAATTCTATTAAAATCAAAATAAAAGCTTTATTTTTAAAGTGGTTTATTTAAAATTAAAATCCAAATAAAAGCCCTAAAAATAGTTTTCTATTTTGATTTAGTAGAAGATATAGAAACTCTTCAAGCAGATGATTCTTTTCCTCTGCATGCTTATAAAAGCCATTTGTTTGATGCTAACTCAGGATAGGCTGGGCTCTGCTGTTGAAAACAAGAAACACACCCAAATCTCAGTGGCTTAACATAATAAAGTTTATTTTTTGATCATACAAAGTCTACTGTTGATCCAGCTGACCTCCATGTGGTCACTAGCAATCAAGGATACTTTAATAGCTCCATTTCAACTGAGGCCTCCCCTACAATGCCATGGTAAAAGGGGTTTGTCACTGACCTAGACTGGGAGTGACACACACTACTTCTGCTCACATTTAACTGGTTAGAACTAGCCACTGCCTACCTACAATAGGGCTGGAAAGTGTATTTTTCTTTATACCAGAAAGGAAAGTGGTACAGATATTGGTAAATATTAATAACATCACCAAAATTCTTATATCTGCATGATATCAAGGCTGAATGCAGAATAACTCAGTAAGAGAATTTCTACTAAGGATTGAAATAAAATTCATATCTGATGATCTAATAATTCTGGCATAGATTTCGGAGAATCTAGCAAGAAAAACAAATAGGTAATATGCTGATCAAACTGGTTATTCCAAACCCCAATTTCAGTGAGGCTGACACATGACAGGTATACCTTTAATTATTAAGCTGCTATAGCCAGATAGATGTTGTAGGTTTAGATGAAAACCATGTATTGCAGATACCAGAGGTAAGCAAGCCATCACTAAGGTGTGAAAATTTGCAATCTGCATCCACTCTTCACATCAGCAAAGATGGGGCAGTAGAGAGGTATATAGGTACAGTCGATTCTATCAGAAAAGAGCTTCAGATCTTCTCAAATATATCTGCATCCACTCTTCACATCAGCAAAGATGGGGCAGTAGAGAGGTATATAGGTACAGTCGTCGATTCTATCAGAAAAGAGCTTCAGATCTTCTCAAATACTCCTAAGTACTTGTTGACTACCCAGAATGCTGTGTGCGCTATATAAGAGACAACTTTAGCATGAAAAAAGATCAACCGAATATATAGCTGACCTCTTCACCCACAAATAAAAGTAAATTAAGAAAAAAGAAAGGACAATTATCTGTGGGTCAGAACTAGGAAAAAATTAATCCTCAGCTTCTCACTTTTCCCTACCCCACTCCCACCAAAGGTGAGTAAGTTGACCTGAATAAGGTTAAAATTAACCATTTAGGTGTGGACAAATGCTTATGAAGTATGATTTTAATTTCAGTATAACTGATATTAAGCTCTACTGGAGATAACTAACTAGCTCTACTGGTAATTCCAACCTGCATAACTTTTAAGATTATTTCTAGCCTCAAATAGAAAAACCACATTTGCTTCAAGAGCAATTGAAATGTGTTAGGTGTACATTCAATTATAACATGATTCTTTTATTAAAAAAAAAGCAAAATAAGAATATAAAGAAATAATACTTCAACAGTTTTGAGAACATTCTCTACCCAAATAAAGGAACGGATAAAGTAATATAATATATAATACAACAAAACCTGTACCAGATTCAAGGTTTATCCATGAAATTAAAGAAAAACAAACAAACATATAAAAAAGATAGGACATTTCATTTTTAATCAGTCAAAAATGAAAAAAGTTCTGGACAATGTCAAATTCCACTCATCATAATGCTATAGTTATACATTAAATATAATTACTATCTATACATATGCAAAAATATAAAGTTCTATTTCATACAATAAAACCCTTTATAGAAACCATTTTAAAATTAAGCAGAACTTCTCAACATTGATATGTGAGGTATAAGTCCTTCCAAAGGTTCCTTTAAAGGTTTTAAAACAAAATGCTAAACCTAAAACATTGTCCGTTCTGTAAGTTCCCAAATTAAATCTACTTAGAACAAAACTCTCCGTTACATACTACTTAAATAACATTGTTCAGGCATCTCTAAAATCCTCTATTTTTTCAAGTACAGAAATAGAACTCAAATATTCCACAATACAGTACTGAACAGATGAAGTATTTAGGAAAGACTTTGTTGTCATATGGCACAATATTAATTCTTTATTTCTTCAATGTGTTTTGAAATAAATATTAGGTTTTTGTTTTGTTTTTCTTCTAAAAGGCCAAAATTATATCTACATTAAGATAATTTTGACTGTGGTAAGATTTAAGAGTGTAAAATACAACATCAATATTTTATCACAAAAGTAAAGCTGGTAACAAATTATAAAAGGACCCAGTACTCTACTCAGACATACTCAGGGATTAAAGCTCATCATGATAGAAATAATCATCATGGAGCTGTCTGCCGTAATCTGTGGCTTCACTGGCAAGAAACAAGTCCTCGTTTTCCAGAATCTCTTCTTCAGAGAGCTTTTTGTCACCATTCAAATCCATTTCATCAATGAGGTGAAGAGCCTTTAAAATAAAACAGAGAGGTCTCAACTGTAATAAGTATTTTCAGCAAGATGTTCACATTTTTTTTTTTCCTTTTTGTCTTTTTTCGTGTCCGGCAACGGATCACAACCCTCAGTGTCGCGCCCGGACCGGGACCGGCAATGGGATCACAACCCTTGGTGTTGCTCCCACACCTCGCTCAGCTAGTGAGCGGGAACCGGTCTGTATGTGGGATCCGAACCCTCGGCGGGAGCGCCACCACACTCCCAAGCGGCGCACTGTAGCAGTGTGCCACCGGGCCGGCCCAAGATGTTCACATTTTAATGTGATTTGACTTGTCAAAACCATTCAGGTGTGCCGTGCCAAGTACTCATTAATATCTAAGTATCTAAAACTATTACACATTGTAACTGGGTCTGTCTACTGCTTTTCTCCTTTCTTAATTTCTGCTGAGGTCTGCCTCCTCTCCACTCAAATCCAATCCAGGGTATCTCGAGGAAAAGCTAAACTATTATAACCCACTTGGATCCTCTATAGGTAAATAAAAACTATTATTCTATTCACTGTACTATTAAATTTATACTTGATACAATCTTAACTTCTTCCTGACGATCTAAAGCAGTTCGTAAATTTAAAACATAGCAATGCATCAATCCTAAATAATTCCATTACTTCTATCTTTGGCTTAATATTTTGAACTACTTCTATCAATAGCACCAAATTGTGGGGGCAGGGATATGGAATAGTTATTCTGTAACACTTACTTCTTCTTGTGCAATGCCCTGATTATTGGGTACTACCCAAGATAACAGCTCTTGCGGATCAAGCCTGCCATCGTTATCTTTGTCATAATCATTGACGAATCTGTCTTTCTCAACAAGTATCCATTCTGGATCTTCATTTGCAGCTTAACATAAAAAAACACAAATATACATACACAAGAACATCATATGTATTGAATAAGAAGTTTGGTAAATCCCTAGAATAAAGGAAGTGAATTTAAAGTTTACTACATAAAGGAGGCCCAATGAAAACAGAACTACTTAACCGAAAAAGTCTTGAAACAAGTAAAAATATATAGTAATTTTCAAAAGCGACACATAAGTCTAAACAACTCATAGTTTTAAAGTCATTGCACATGATCACAAACTAATAATTTTGTTAACTGCTGCTACTTGTTCTGATATCTAGTTTTCCCAAATGTGAGCTGGGTAATGTTTTTATGTAACATCATGTGACTATATAAAGTTCCTGATGTGTTCTCACAAAGTAATGCCATGTGTAACTTTAAAGTGACATTTAAACTAGTGACCAATTTTAAAACGGCATTGCTTGATGCTTTTAAGCAAAAACTCTTGGAAAAAAACAAAACAAAACAAAACAAAACAAAACAAAAATAGTTGCTTACAAAAAGGCAAACTCAAGTCACCTTCTACAGTTTACACCATTACTTATAGTATTTTTGTTTCTTTCTCTTTTAAGACCTACATGCAAACGTTCAGGATTTTGTTTAAAAATATCAACCTTTACTTCCTTTACCATTTGAATTGATAATTAACATAACATTAGTTTGAAAAGAAGAAAAATGTTTGAATCTAGACATGGAAGTAAAAGTGAGCAAGAAGACATTCTCAGAAAAGCTATAAGCCCATTTGTTGAACTTGTTTTACAGTTAACTTAGTAGAACAAGTATAATTTAGCATAGTTCCTCTTGTTACATTTTCTTTTCAAAACAGCACTCAATGAGTAAGGTTGTCTTTTAATTTCTCTCTTCTTTAATTCTATTTTTTGCCCTCCTTCCACATTACCCAGGTGACTTACTTGGATCCCGCCTGTAATCACCAAGAAATTCTTCCAAACTAACAAATCCATCACCGTTTTTGTCATGTTCTTCTAAAGCTTCTTGAATGACAAATTCCTATTGCATGTCCATCAAAAGAAAAAATTAGTCACAAAATTTTCAATCCCACGACCATCTGAATCAATCCTATTACAGACCTTCTTTAGGAACAATCATTTTGATTGTCCATACTTTCAGGACAATCTTTCTAAAAAGTAGAATTTAGAAGCAAGAATAAAACCCCAAGTACTAAGTATCTTTAAATTCAACATCCTTAGAGTTCTGATATTGTGAAGAACTCCACTTTTACTTTCCTAAACCTCAGCACTAAATTCATGCTCCTAATTTTCTGCACATTCCCCTCCCTCTCAAAAATGACATCTTACTACCCTTGTCTTCTTTAACTCCATTTGTCCTCCAATCCATCAACAACCCCCAAAGAACCCCTACCTTAGATCTCTTTGCACAAAACTGTTATTCTACCTCCAGAATAACAATGTGTCAGTCCCCCATAAACCTCAACTTCCTTGCTTCCCCTTCCACCAAATCTACCACCATTCACACCAAACTGCCTCCAAGTCTGGTCCTCCCTCTTATCAAGGCTTCTTACCAAACCACCAATCCTTCTCCCTGACCCCAAGGGTAGACCCTTTCTAGTTTAATGACCTGTCAATGGCCAGCTGCATCAATACTTCTCTCATTACCTTCTTATCTCCTCCTGTGCCCTTTTCTTATTATGCAAATCCCCATCCTGCTCATCAGACCCACATCACTTTCTCCTTTCCTCCAGAACCAAAAAAGTCTACAAAGAAAGAATATTCAAAAATATAAACCTAGTTCTTATAAATAAATTTTTGCCATTTCAGTGAGTCTCACTGCAATTTGGAAATCTGCCTCTGCCTCAGTTTCCTTAACACGCTCTCTACAGCTTTTTTCAAACCTTTACCTCCACTTTCTTTTATCCTCACCGCAACCCTCCGCAACATTCTCTTCGCAAAGCCCTCCTATTTTTCCAAACATGATAGAAGTCTTCAGAAATACTTCCTTATTTATCAGCACTGCATCGTCACCTTTAATTGCTTTTTTTGTTGCACTCTTTAACTACCATCCTGGTTCTTTTCTTCCCTGCCTGGCCTCTCAGAGGTGACATCTACTACTCTCATTTCCTCACTACCTGTTGCCTCCCTAACACCATTCAATCTGGATTCCAGCATCACAACTGTAAAGAAAATATATTCTCATAAGTCTCCGATCCTAGACAAATCCAGGGGCTTCCTCTACATCTGTATGACACAGCCCCTAAATCAAGTTGTTGTTTCTTAAAATCAAATATTACATATACTATATGTAGAATATTATCTATAGAAAACAGGATCTTGGGCCGAGCCCATGGCGCACTTGGGAGAGTGCAGCGCTGGGAGCGCAGCAGCGCTCCCGCTGCGGGTTCAGATCCTATATAGGGATGGCCGGTGCGCTCACTGGCTGAGCGCGGTGCAGGCGACACCACATCAAGGGTTGCGATCACCTTACCGGTCACAAAAGAGACAAAAAAAAAAAAAAAGAAAAAGAAAAAGAAAACAGAGGATCTTAATCTAGGAATCCAAAGATTAGTTTTAGAGGGAGGACCTGAGAATCCCCTGAAATGATAATCTAATAATCCAATATTTTGTGTGTAATTTTTCTGAGTCAGAGTCCATATTTTGTATCATATTCTTAAGGGAGTCTGTGATCCAATAAAAGTTAAAAACCACTGATCAAAATGATTATTCCTCTACTCAAGTAATCCTCTTGGGAAACAATACTTCAATAATGCTGCCATGGTTAAAAGAATTTTCAGAACTACATCAATGCAAATATCTTTAAAGTTAAATTCTGACTTTTAATCCAAAGTAGAATCACAGAGTTAATCTTGTGCCCTTGCCTTTTCCTATATCAAATATACCCTTACAGGGGAAAATGGATACACAAAAACAACAAAGGTAAATAGGAATGAATGAAGCTGCTCTGAATTTGACATCACTTTATGGTCACATATCTTATGTGTTGCCATCAACTCCAAAACAGCACAAAAGGCACAATCAAGGAGAGCCCATTCTGATACACCCCATTCTGTGAAAGGGTGTTATCATTGTTACACAAGCTCAAAACCTCAGCATCATCTCTGACTCTTACGTTCCCTTAATACTTATTTAGTAAGTCAAGATTCCTGTTTATGCCTTCTTCGAAATGTTGCTCAAATCTATTTCATTCCATTGCCATATCATACTCGAGCCATATCACGTAATGCCTAAATTATTTCATTTCTTTCAATGGTCCCCTCTTCAGTCTTTAATTGTTCCTTATTTTCCAGAGAATAAAGATCCAGCACCCTCTGCCTGCCTCAATTCTAGGCTTCAGTTAGCTTGTCCAACTTAATTCTGGCGCTTAAATTATGCCCAGCAGTGGTCTAAAACGAACTCATGTATTTTGTGCCAAGTGATTGATTAGAAGTCTCACAATGGCAGGACAAGTGGTACTTAGGCAGTGTCCTGCCACTGAGTTATGGAGAAAAATGTATTTGTAGCCTTGTTATTCAAGGCAGTACATTCTGACCATGACCCATTAAACAAAAAGCTACATCTTCCCTCCCCGAAATATCCGGGGAACCAAGTGGCACAGCTGGTTCCCTGGATGCTGGTTCCCAGTTGCTGATGCCATGTAACTGATCTCACTATAAATGTTTAGTCTCTCTTTTTAAAAGCTATTTGTTACATTAATCTTTACTCTCCAATGTGATGGCTTCTGTTCTCAAGAAGCTTGCCAAGTACTAGTAAGGACTTGATCAATGTTTGTTGAATTAAACCTAGAATTCAACAAAAGTTCTGAAGAACTGGTACGTGTAATTCTTTCAGGTACCAAAGGGATGAGAGGACTCATTATTCCTCTTGCAAAAACATTAATATTCATTAGCAGCAGCATCCCCCCCCCACCCTATGAAATGGGATCCAAACATGGTATGTTTTTCCAGGCCAAAAGCTTCCACTGATGTTATTGTAAACAAAATGGAAGTTCTAATGTTATTAACATTGAAAAACCGAGAAAAGTCTGAAGGCTACAAAAGGATAAGGAAGGGACTGAAGGTAGTGTGGTTATGAGAGATAAAATAGCCAGAGAAAGATTGCTGCTCATATATAGTACAGAGATTTAAAAATTCAAGTACTTCATTTTCTCCCTCCCAATAAACAACCTAACTACCAACAGAAACCTTCCTTACCACTCCTAATCTTAAGTGGTAAGAATTTTGGACCTTCCTGTCTCCTAAATTTCTGGTTGTTATACGATTCATTTTAATGACTTAGTAAGGTTTTGGTCACTCAATAATTCTCTTAAAATTTTTCTTCCTTACCGTCATATAATCAACTTCTTCAGGATGCTCAAAAGCAATAAATTCTTCAAGACTCAAACCAGGACCCAAATCTTGGTTAGCTTTTTCAAATCGCTTCTTGTCCTTTAAATGAAGCTTTGAAAATTAAAAATTTTGAACATGTTTAAAGGTCTCATTAGTACCATAACACCATTAAAAACACATCAAAAACTGAAAACTATGTGAACTTCAAAGTACATTCTCACACATTATCTCATTTATCTTCACATCATCCTTTAAAGTTAGGTTGGGCAAATAACAAACATTTATTAGAGACAGTATGAAGACACAAGCTCTAGAGTCAGAGCCAGACCTGAATTCCAGCAATGCTACTTACTAGCTATGGTATTCAGGGCAAACTGCTTAACCTCTCTGGTTTCCTCATCTATAAAATTAGGATAAAAATCTCTATTAAGCAATTGGGATGAGAATCCCTAATATGCAATTAGTAAACCTTAAGTATTTATTAAGTGTTGTACATTATTATGAGTAATAGAAAAACTGAGACTAAATGATTTGATGAAAGTCAGAAATACAACTAAAAAATATTGAACTTGGATACTCCCTGTTCTTTCTATAGTACTATACTGTCTCCTTTAATAATTAATCTCAATACTTTTTTGAATGCCCCCACAACAATAAACTTGGACCATGTATTAAATCTTGGTAGGGCTTTTTTAAAATGACTTTTCAAAAAGACATTAACATGATTCAGAAAAATAGTCCTCTTATGCTGAACATCTTGTATTATATGTATTTAATATTTGGAAGTCTATTGTTAGTAGGCTCTCTATACTGTTAATTTTGTATTTTCAGATATAATCAAAAGCTTAAATGAGTCCCATTTTGAGGTTAAACAAACACACACACACCCTTTTCTACTTTTTCTCCAATCTTTTTTTTTTTAACGTATGGTCAAGTAGTAAAGTGATGCAGCAGCTATTAGGGAGGCTTCCTAATAAAATTAGTTAATTTTGTAACCAAGAGCCCTGGAAGCCAATGGTACTATATTGCTAATCCCACATAATTTCTACTTTGAGAATTTCTGGGAATAGCTTCCTATATATTAATATGTATTAAACTGCACATTTTTTTGAAAAGCACGATTTCGAACATTTTAGAAGCTTTTAATTTATGTGTTTCGCTGTTGAAAAGAAATGCTCTTTTCAATTTTATAGAATATAGGTTAGGCAACAGCCATTTATTTAAACACTAGTTCTTTTACAATTATTGATTTACAGTGGAGAGGCTCACATCTTTCCCCAAAGAATTTGTCTTATAAACATCTAGAATCCACAAGCCGGTTATACTCACCCACTCATGACAGAAAAGAAAAAATAATAACTTGTTTCCAAATAGCTGCTTTTAATTTAATATTTCATAATTTTAAACGACTAGACCAAATAATTTGCATTTTATGTTCATGTTTAACATGCGGAAAAGCAGACAAACAAGAATTTGAGGTAATTTGTTGAGTCAATCAAGTTCCTTTTGAATAAATAACTATTCAGAATACCAACTGCTTAGATTTCCTTGTGAAAGAACCCTTCGATTTGGAGCAAAAAGGTCCATGTTTCAGCAGAGGGAGCTAAATTTGGCCAAATTTGCCTATGGAAAGAAAGGATCTCTTTCAACAAGCTGAGATTTCTTTTTTAAAAAATGTAGTGTTTTTTTTTTTTTTGTGTGGCTCACATTTCATGGCCATTTGAAGAACACAATTTAAGAGTAGCTCATTATTAAATTAAATAAGCCAATATGCAGAAAAACTTTTTTCAAAGTGACAAATTTCTAAAAAATAACAACAAAAAAGATGGTCAGTTTCATAAAACCTCAATGCTTTTTATCTTCTGTAAAAAACTTTGTCTTCTAGTAAAAGGCAGAAAGTGTTACGTACAGTAACAAAAAGAAACTAAGATAATCATTTATTTTTGTATTGTAATATAAACTTGTGAGGAACAAAACTGCCATCTTTTGGTAGACTAACGATTTTACATGAGGAAATATATAATCTGTGATATTAAAACAAAAGTCTATGTCTTAAAAATTCTGATTAGCTGAGTGTAATATTGTATATAAATAAATAGTGCTTATACATGCACATTCAGCAGATGACTTTGGAAGTTAGAGCAACTGAACTTTTGTCAGGTAGGTCCCCAAAGTTTAATTATCCTGTTTGAACATGCTAACTATAATTGTTCATCATATTATAAAGAAATGCTTTTTCAGGCATTTCACAGACTGAAAGGGTCATTTCTCCAGGTTGTCTCTATTCTCTATATGGAAAATAGTTAAATGTAAGATAAAATTCAGGTATCAAGTTAATTTTTTGTTTTTTAATAGACTTCCATGTATAATATTTTATTTTATTCAAATTTAGATTACTTATTATGATTTTATTAATGGCATAATATTTAGTCTATAACTTTTAGACTGATTCATTCTTCATCCTTTATTTTTCATTTCAAAGAAAATGCAGTTTCTGGGTTCATCTTTACACCCACATCGATTTTTAGGAGGTTATTTATACCAAATTCTAACAAAATATGATTAGAAGTCCATGAAGATAGAGACACAGAATAACCTGTGCTGTCAAAAAATAACCAATACGATTCCCACTGAAAAGTGTTTATTTTAGGGATCCATCAATTTGTATAGGCTATTAAGATCCATCTAATCCATTCTTAAAGAGTAAAGTCATAATCAACATGTACTGAGTACCTGGTGGAGAACACAGCATTAAAGCCAGACTCCTTTTAAAAGAAGAGCTGTTCATAAAGTTTATATTGAGTCATGTATCTCTTCAAAGTTAAGATTTCTCAACACCATCATCAGTAAAGTCATAATCAACATGTACTGAGTACCTGGTGGAGAACACAGCATTAAAGCCAGACTTCTTTTAAAAGAAGAGCTGTTCATAAAGTTTATATTGAGTCATGTATCTCTTCAAAGTTAAGATTTCTCAACACCATCATTTATTATTCTGCCTCCTCCCAAGAATAAACAAAACACACATATACTCCTTATTTTTTGATGGAATAGTAATCTTTTGGATGCCAAAAAAAATAAATAAATAAATAAAAAATACAATTAAAATCTAATTCTAGTAAGATTTAAAAAAAAAAAAAAAAAGATGACCGATAAGGGGATCTTAACCCTTGACTTGGTGTTGTCAGCACCATGCTCTCCCAAGTGAGCTAACCGGCCATCCCTATATGGGATCCGAACCTGTGGCCTTGGTATTATCTGCACCATACTCTCCCAAGTGAGCCATGGGCCGGTCCCTTAATTCTAGTAAGTTTTTTTTTTTTCCTTTTTGTCTTTTTTTTACTGACCGGTAACAGGATCGCAACTCTCGGTGTCACGCCCATACCGGGGACCGGCAACGGGATCGCAACCCTCGGTGTTGCGCCCGCACCGCACTCAGCCAGTGAGCAGGAACCGGTCTCCACATGGGATCCGAACCCTCGGCAGGAGCGCTGAACCTGGCGCACTCTCCAGTGCACCACCGGGCCGGCCCATCTAGTAAGATTTTAAAAGACTGTTTTTAACTTTTCTGTTGAACCTTGGCAGGTAAGTCATATCATACCACAGTTTGGTTTTAGAAAAGTCCCAGAAATCTAATAATGCTTTTAAGGTAAGTTCATTTCTATAGTAAAGGAGGATACCTAGTAGAAAGATATCTCAAATCCCATCATCACCATTTGTTTTCTCATTAGCATTAACAAGTAGTGAAAAGACTGATTTAGGCTCTCTTTAGTCACTGTAAAATGAAGACCCAAATAAGGAGGGAGAAAAAAAGCAAAAATACATTTCCCCTTAATTAATCTAAAGCTGATACAGTTAATAAATGCCTAAGCGATTTTTAAAAGTTGATTAGAGATATTAAATATAAACTTATGTGAATTGTACACTCTTTGTTCAACAATATTCTTTTTTTTTTTTTTTTTGTCCTTTTTGAGACTGGCCGCACCACGCTCAGCCAGTGAGCGCTGTGAGTGCACCGGTCATCCCTACATAGGATCCAAACCCGCGGCGGGAGCGCTGCTGCGCTACCAGTGCCGCACTCTCCCAAGTGCGCCACGGGCTCGGCCCATTCAACAATATTCTTTTAAATCAAAACAGAACTGCTCACCAGTCCAACTGCTACTATTTATTACTATTTTTCCATACCATTATTATTGCCATTTTTAGAGATGAGGAAATTGAGGCACATGGAGGTTTAATAACTCACCCAAAGTTACACAACTGTTAAGCAGTAGAACTGGATGTGAAGCCAGGCAGACTGGCTCTGAGCGTAGAGCTCTTAACCTCCACACTGGTGGTATGTGCATAGCATATGCATAATCATTAGCAGAGAATCAACCACCTTAGGGTTAGCGGTAGCCTATGGAGTTCAAGTGGCCAGATATGATTCTAAAATAGATGTACAAGGATAAATTACGGTCACAATAAAAATTAAAAGGTGCATACTAAAGTGGAATTTAGTTAAGAAACAAGAGGCTCAAATGTTTTCCAAGCATTCTTGACTAATGTTTTGGGACATACAGTTTGCAACTAGGTGTTTGGTTTTATTTTTTTTTACATAAAAAAATATTTAAAATTACTTTTGAAATACAAAAGTATTTTAAATAGCAATTTCTCAAGCTTACAGTCATTCGTATTGAATGACTTTTACTTTAATAGACTTCCTATAAGTCTTGAAAAGTTCCTACTAATTCCTAAATAAAAATTGTCTTCATCAGCTCTGCTTCATTAAGAAACATATATTTTGACAAATTAAACCATGAGACACAACAAAACTCACAGCAATACTGAATTTTCAAAAACGAGTTATTTTAAATAGTGTAACTGCTATGGAAAACAGTATTGCAGTTCCTCAAAAACGTTAAAAATAGAATTACCATATGATCCAGCAATCCTAGTTCTGGGTATATACCCAAAAGAATCAAAAGCAGGATCTCAAAGAGAGATTTGGATACCATGTTCATAGAAGGATTAGCATAATAGCCAAAAGACTGAAGCAACCCATGTGTCCATTGACAGATGAATGGATAAACAAAATTTGGTGTAAACATACAATAGGATATTTTTCAGCCCTAAAAAGGAATGATATTCTGACACATGCTACAATATGGACAAACCTTGAGGACACTATGTTAAGTAAAATAAGCCAGTCACAAAAAGACAAATACTGTATGATTCTACTTAGGTGACATACCTACAGTAGTCACATTCATAGAGACTGAAAGTAGAACGGTGGTTGTCAAGGGCTTGGTAGAAGGAGGGAATGGGGAGTTACCGTTTAATGGGTATAGAGTTTCAGTTTTGCAAGATGAAAAGAATTCAGGAGATTGTTTGCACAATATGAATGTACTTAACACTACTGAACGGTGTACCTAAAAATTGTTAAAATGGTAAATTTATCATATGTATCTTACCTCAATTAAAAATAATTTTTAAAGTGAGTGACTATATAAACTACATGTTTAAAATGGGAACAGGCCATTCGGTGATGTTAAAAGTAAAATACTGAGATACATATTCAAAATACATTAAAAAGCAACTCTGGAAATGAGGACAAATAATACAGCCGAGGAAAACAGATACAAGGATAATTTAGGTAGTCCAGAATATGAGTCCTAAATCTGGCTAGGAAGAAAACCATCAAAATGCCCACTGAAGTGGAACAAGTGATTACCTAGAGAACAAGGCAATCTACTCTATGACCTCAGGCTCTCTTGTGCTCATTCATGCAGGAAAACAGTGTGCACATATACCCACCTGCCTAAATGACTCTTCTTCTGCATCATCCAGAGCAGTGTTCTCATCAAAGTCGATCACACGATCATACATCTGAATGTTGTATTCATCCCATGTCACAGTACCATCACTATTTTTATCATATTCGACAAACTGTTGTTTTGCTTCTTGCATAGCATAATGTTTAAAAGACATCTGAATCCATGAACTGAGTTCACCTATGACAATTTCCCAGAACATAATGAATGTGACAGTAATTCTGATACTTAAGAGTGAAGATTTCTAAACCTTCTCTAAAAATAAAAAAACTTGAATGTTTGCAAATACTGAGTGAGAATGGGCCCAGTTGTATTGATAGAGAAAGGGGTAGGAGGTGGGGAGAGCTATATAGAATCTAAAAATATTATGTGATCTAAACAGAATGTCTTTGTTCTGTTCACTGATATATGCCAAATGCCTAGAGAGTGCCTGACTCAATAAACATTTGTTGATTGGCCAAAATAGCACATTACTTTTTAAAAATATTATCCAAAAAATTGCAGATAACCTTTGCTAACTACCACTGATCTCTAAAAAAGCACAAATATTTGAATAACTACCTACTTAATATAAATATCTTAGAAAAAACAGTGTTTCTCATTTATGAAACTAAGTTCTAACTTTAAATATTTTAAAAGTTTACTATTAAATATTTGAACACATGTAGGCCCTGATAGACAGGCACCACATAATCTTCCAAATCAATCTGTCTGTGTGTACTCTAGTATATACAAAGATAGACCTATTCTTACATTGGATAATTAGAGTCCAAAGGTTTTGTTGTCATTACTGTTTATTGTAAGTAGAAAGAACAAAGCCCTAATATTCCTAAGGACACTGATGTGAATATTTCATTGCCAGTTTGCAATTCTCTCCAGCAACGTCATTCCTTGGATGCTGAACAGCATTTAAATGAGAGTTATAACAAAATAGCTAACACAGTCACAGTGAAACCTTCTGAATTTTTTTGAAGATCAACTTGGAATGCTGATAGGGTTCATCGACTGAATTAAACAATGGGCAGACAGTTGCACAGCAATTTATCAGAACATTCTTTTAATAGTCTGTGCATTTCATTTCCGACTAGGGAACCAACTAAGAGCACTAATTTTTTTTTTGCGTTTCATTTCTGACTAGGGAACCAACTAAGAGCACTAATTTTTTTTTTTTTTTTTTGTCTTTTTTGTGACCGGTAAGGGGATTGCAACCCTTGATGTGGTGTCGCCCACACCGCGCTCAGCCAGTGAGCGCACTGGCCATTCCTATATAGGATCCGAACCCGCGGCGGAAGCACTGCTGCGCTCCCAGCGCCGCACTCTCCCGAGTGCGCCAGGGGGCCGGCCCTCAGAATTTTTTTTTTTAACTGAGGATATTAAAAACTGAATTAAGAGGAGAACACTCAGGTTCTAGTCCTGGCTTTGCCACTTAATAGAAAAAGGCATTTACCCCTCTGGGCTTCAGTTTCTTCATCTCTACAAAGATCGGTGGACAAGATTCTAAGGCCCTACCAGCGCTAACATTTTGTTATAATGCTGTAATAAACAATTCACATTCAATACGTCTTTTTTTACTTACTTATAAAAAGAAGAAAATTCTAATGAAGCATATATCAAAAAAGCAATAAATCATTTAATGCCTTAAGAAGGTTTTGGGGCATATTTCTCTAAATGAATCATATTGTTGACACTGACAAAAGTCATGTGAGAAAGAGGGTGTCAAAAGGTATGACTTGTACATACCTAACAGGGTCAATGATGTTTATACATTACTAGAGAAAGCACTGAATTTTACTTGGTATCCTATGTCTAAAAATTTCAAGGTATAAAACCTCTCCATATCCTTTTTTTCCCTCTCGCCGTACCTCTAACTTGTTGGAACACTAGCAATCTACACCCAGCAAACACCCCTGCTTAAAATGTTTGTGTTTGTCTCCTACAAAGGGGTTTTTCCATTGTTAGTTGTGTAGGACAGTCCTTACTTTCGGTGAGAAAGCCATCTGAGTCCAAATCAATTTTCTTTATGATCGACTGCAGTCTTTTTTGCTGCTCTTCGTGGCTGAGTTTAGCATATTCATCGACTTCTTCCTTTGGGGGGAAGCGATACACAGGAGGGTCAAGCATTACCATCAGTGGGGCAACACAGTGGAGAAAAACAGGGCTACTAAAAGCCTCCCTTGCCGACGGGTTTCAGGGTGACCCACACCTGCTCTTCAGGACCGCTACCTCCTACACATCCTCAGTCATCCTGACCGATGTGCGGAAGATAGAAGGAATCCAGCCTAGCACGGCGCTATTTCCTCAGGCATCACAGGCCCCGGGGTCCCCCAGAAAGCGAGCGCCGCTCCGCCCGGTCCCCATTGTCAGACCGCCCGGGCCAGGCCTCGCCCAGCCGCCCCCCTTTGTCCCGGGACAAAGCCCGCTGCGTCGGCGGTGCAAGGCCCGGCCTTCACAGCCCCCGGCCTGGCCTCCTCACCTGGGCGCCCAGCAGCGCCTCGCGGTCGTAGTCGGTGCGGTGTTCGCCCTGCGGGTAGTGCAGCTCCTCGGCCTTGCCGGCCCCAGCCGCCGCGGTGCACAGTAGCAGCAGCCCCAGCGTCGCGGGCCTCGGGCCCAGCCGCATCGCGCCGGCCCGCCGAGGACACTGAGAGATTCGAGGAGGGAGACGGGTGGGGGGCCTAGGCGGGCGGCGGCGCTCAGCGGGCGGCTACGGAGAGACGACGCGACGTACGTTGGGGGGACCAGAGGGGCGGTGGCAGCCGCTCCCGCTCCCGACCTCACCGCCCGAAACCTAGACGACAGCTGCGGTGGGCAGGCGCGCCCCTCCGAGTCATATATGGCCGCGGCGGAGGGGCGGGGCTCCAGGCCTCGCCGCTGATTGGACCGCGCTGCGCTGGGGGCGGGCCGCAGCGAAGTGGCGGTTCGCAGCCGGCGCACTAGGGCTAGCAGGCGGGCGAGGGCCGCGGGCTGACCCCCACGGGTGCTTTCCTCTCTCTACGACACCTTCCGAAAAACAATCCCGCTCGCAATCCCATCCCCGCCCTGTGTTTTCCAGTCAGCTTTGTTCCTGCCGGAAACTCTCTGTCCACTCCATGTGTCGGTCCTGGTTTCCATCAATGAGAGAGGCTGTAGATTTCGGTGAAAACAGTACAATATCTAGAAAAATCTTTGCCTGAGGAACCGACCAACAGTATCCATTTCCCAGTTTTCAATGTATCTCTACTTACTTATTTTACCAGAGTAGGGTGTACAAACCCAGGAACAACGGCCAGATGTTTGGGTCTGGTGCTTAATTTCTCGATTTACAAGTTTTGTGACCTTGGCCCCCGAAAACTTGTTTGCTCACTTATAAAATGGGCATTAGTAATAAGACTACCTTAAAGAGTTGTTGAGAAGATTAAGTTAAAGAATGTAATGCGTTTAGAACAGTAGCTGGCAGATATGGTGAAGTGTTCAATAAATGCAAGCTTTGCTCCACGCAGGTAGAAAAGCAAAAGATTATTGCGCAGAGGGAATAGTTTAGCAAGTACCTAGCAAAACTTTTACGGATTAAATGCACATAGGCGTGGCTTCTATTCCAAGTCCATTTATAGGTGTATGTAATTTCTCTACCTCATCCCAAGCACATTAAGCCCAAAGAAATCTGTAGGCTGCAGCTTGAACCCTTTTCTTTATTGATTGCTTCAGTTAGGATCAGGCCTTTTCACACAGAAGAAAAGGCTTTCTGGGTCCTCTTTCACTTCTTATTTTTTATTTGGATTGGGAGCAAGAATCCTGTTCTTGCTGAACTGAAAAACTTAGTGGGTACAAGTTGCACAAATTTCCTGGGTCAGGTTGGAATTTTATTGTTTGGTTAGAGACCACTGAAAAGTTTTACAAAGCCAAGAGTAAGTTCCATCTTTCCAATGTTACAAAGATCAATGCAGAACAAAATTTTAAATTTCAGAGTATGAATATAGGCAATATATCAGAGTTGATTTTATTAAACTGAAAAGAAAACAAAAACCTTTATCACTAGGTTAACTTTTAATTTCAGTTCTGGTTTTGAGGTAGTCTGGAGAAAGAAAGAAAAAAGGTAAATGTCCCGATTTTGTATAAGGGACTCAGCTTCATACCTATTGTTCTCCAAGAAGTAAAAGGTAAACTTTGACCAGCTTCTGATGTGACTGCAATTACAAAGGGTAGGACACAAGGTATTATGGGAGTTCTAAACTGAAGGGCTCCATAGTTAAAGGTTTGGGAGCAAAGGAAACTTAATGGCATCTAAAGAGGCAAGGGGGTAAACTGCATAAATGTCTAAGCATGAGAAGGCCTGAATTTTGTCTTCCTTTAGCCCCTAAACAGGCTGTATGCCCTCCCTGGGCCTACTTTTTTCATCTGTAGGAAAAGGATTAGGTTAGCTCAGGGGACCTTAATTTGAGATCTTTGGGTTCCTAAGTGGATCCCTAGCTGGGTCTCAGTGGTGTGTTATGTAAAATGTCGTACATATGTACATTTCTGGGAAGGAAGTCTACAGCTTTGCTTTCATCAGGGTTTCAAAAGGATCCATGTGGCAGAGAAACTTGAGTCTGAAGAAGTCTCTAAGCAACACTTCAACTCTTAAAGTCCGTGATTTTATTAATTAGGATTGTTTGGAAGCAGGTTATAGTGAAGATCTACACTCTTGAGAGGCAAGATCCATTGTCATTACTTGTAATAAATTAATTCTATTCAGAGAAAATTAAGTATCTAAAATAAGAAGGCTGTCAAAAAAAGAAAGCATTATGAGAATCCAGAGATCAATTTTCTTGTCCTGTAAAAGCCCATAGCGCATAACAAATTCATTTCTCTTTTTTTTTTTTTCCTTTTTGTCTTTTTTCGTGTCCGGCAACAGATCGCAACCCTCAGTGTCGCGCCCGTACCGGACCGGGACCGGCAACGGGATCACAACCCTCGGTGTTGTGCCCGCACCTCGCTCAGCCAGTGAGCGGGAACCGGTCTGTATGTGGGATCCGAACCCTCGGCGGGAGCGCCACCGCGCTCCCAAGCGACACACTGTAGCAGTGCGCCACCGGGCCGGCCCTAACAAATTCATTTCTATTTACATTTTTATTGAGGTATAACTTACATACAGTACAGTACACAAATCTTAAGTATAGAGTTCAATGATTTTTTTAGGCATATATACACCTGTGAAAACTGCCCAGCACCCCAAAATCTATCTCCTGCTTCCCAAACATCACCCCTGCTGTAAGTAGCTACAATTCTGATCTCTCTCATTGTAGACAAGTTTTGTCTGTTCTTGAACTCTATGTAGATGGCATCATACAGCATTTAAAGTTACTGGTAATGTGTTGTTCTTCCTTGCTGGGAAGCAATATGGTTCCATGGAAAGAACACAGACAACTTTGGATCAGACACATGAGGACCGAACTTTTAGTCTCCTTAACTCACCAGCTATGTAATCTTGAACAAATGACTTATGGAATAATAAAAACTATGTGGTAAGTTTGGTGTGAGGAGTAAATTAAATATTCTCTGCAAGGAATCTGACCCATTGAAGGGGACTCAAAAAATTTTATTTTTCTTTTTCCCCTAGAAAATTCCCATCCAACCTTCCAGACCCAGCACAGCTGTTTCCTGAAGGGGGCCTTCTCTAACTCCCTGCCAAACAAAATTGTTGATCTTTTAGATCTCTTTGTTCCATCATCATTCTGTGTATGTTCCTATGCTACAGTATTTGGCATAGTTCACTGTGACAGTTTGTTGGCATTGCTACAAGGCTATGGGAGCCTTGAGGTCAGGAACTGTGTGATTTCTCCTAGTGCTCCTAATAAGAGGAATTCAATACATTTTTGTGGAATTAATGAATTCAGCTATACCAGTATTCTTTTAGGAGTATGTATGATAGGTAGTAGAGTTAGCTTTGAAACTATTCAGAGAAGGAATTTGTAGATTTCTTACTTTTTGGGTTTGTTAAGATGTGTGTTACAATGAACAGTGGCTTAAAAAACAAAGCAGTACTTAACATATATGGTGTGAACACTTGTGTTACAGGCTGATTTCCACCAGAATGAATGAAATTTGGCACAATAAACAACTTAAGTGTAAAAGCTAACAAACTCAATGAGTTTGCAGCTTTGCACAGATGGAGAACACAATACAAAGGAACAGACTATAGGGCAGTGAATGGGGGAGCAACTTAGACTGAATGATCACACAATTAGAGGGATTTTGTTGGTTGTTTAATCTTTTGTCAGTCTTTTGAGGGGAGAAGATGTGAAAATTCCAGGGTTCTGGTGGAGTCCTAGAGGATGAAGGAAAATACGTAGGTGGATGGATATATTATAATACCTAGATAATATTTTAATTCTAAGGAGTATCCGAAAGTGTGTAAGTAGTCATAAAATCTTAATAACCTATTAGAATTACTTCCAAGAAGTTCAAAGTAACTGTTTTTCACTGAATAAAATTTTCCTAAATTAAACATGGATCTGTCCCCACGATCAAATGTAATGACAGCTCCATCCTCAAATACTAGTAGAAGCCATCCTCTACTTCCGGCAATTCACATTTATTGCCCTTGGTCAGTTACACCAGTGCATCTCTTGTCCTAAAGGCAGCACAAGTAGAAAGATATTAGTCAGAGTGCCTTCCCTGACTTGCTACCTATACCCATAGGGTGACCATACATCCTGGTGACCTGCATGATTTTTAATCATACCCCTTTCACACTCAAAAGTATCCCAGAATGGGCTGACAAAATATATGGATACCTTAACTTTGGGTCTCACATTCAAACTGTCCAGTCCCCTTCTTGCTCGCTCCCCAAGTCCCACACTTAATTAAGCCTCAGAACCATTTCCCACACTCTTTTCCCCAGGTTTTCAACAATGGGTCCTTGAAGTCTTAGTCAAACACATTAGCAGTAAAAATAAAGAAAACAAAAAAGGAGGATTTCCCACACTCTTTTCCCCAGGTTTTCAACAATGGGTCCTTGAAGTCTTAGTCAAACACATTAGCAGTAAAAATAAAGAAAACAAAAAAGGAGGGGATGAAACTCAGGTAAAGAAGGCAATGAGAGAAGGAAAAAAAAAAAAAAAAAAAAAAAAGACTGTGGCTTAAGCAAGAGTTTCTTATGGATTATAATGAAAGTGATTACTTTGTGCATTGCTAAAAAAGCTCTGAAGACAATTTCATAGGTGGAAATACAAAACCAATAGTAGCAGAGACTTTGAAAGACAGCATTCCCTGAATGCACAAATCCTGGGGTGTTTGTAGGAAGAAAACTCAGGCATTGCTTTATAGACACATTGTGCATTCAAGCCTTACAAGTTCACAGATCTGACTGACAAAGAGAAAATGCATTTGCTCTGATTACAACTCAGTCACAGACAGTGTTCAAGGGCTTGTGAGTGATTCGGGCTTTGGTTCTTTGGATTCACGATCAAACTCAGGTCTGTGGGCTTTTGAGGTTCATTTCCATTTTTAAAAATAAAAAAGGTTGGGGCCAGCCCGGTGGCGCAATGCTACAGTGCGCCGCTTGGGAGCGTGGTGGCGC